TAAAGGTACAATTCCCACTGAGAAATGTAATTGTGTTGTATACCTACAATGTACCAATAAAAGAATTTAATACAAAAAAAAAAAGAAGAATTGCTATTGGAAGCAACACTGCTGAACTTCAAAGGGAAGAATTTCATTATTACAGTTTATGAATTGCTCTTTCAATTGAGTTTTCATATTTACAGTGTTTATATTTTCTACAACAAGAATATTCTAATTCATAAGGATAAATTCTAATACTATTCTTCTTTCCTCCTTGTAACTCAGTACTGTGGAACATAGATAGACCCTGGCAGGCTTAGAGCCTGGGGCTCTCTCGGTGCTCGAGGTGGGCTTACCGCATGTGCAAACTCAGCCAATTCCAGCCATTCCATTCAATAAGTGGTTCTGATTTGCTGCACTTGTGGCTAGCGCTCGGCTACAAGCTCATCCAGACCCTGCACCTGAGGAGCTGACAGCACGTGGTCAGCCAGCTATCCACAATGGCCATGTCTTGCTCTGTGTGTCTCGCTCTGCCCTTGCACATGACAGTGCTAGTGCCACCAGTTCCCGAACTGTACCACCAGACTGTGCTAGCCTGGCTGCCTGGGCTGAGCATAATTAACTATTTCCATGTCAAAGGTCATCAGCCAAACTACTACTGTGATGATGTCATATTTGAAATAAACTTCCTCAGCTTTCAGCTAAATCTAGTGGCTGCATCCCTCAAGCTCCATCTCAACTCTCCTCTCTCTCCATCCCTGCAACCTGTACTGTTGCCAGGAGTCACTGTTCTGGTCAAGTCACCTCACTTCTCCAGAACTTCCTGAGGGACAGACAAGGTCTCTCTGAAATTCCTTCTAGTCCTAGGAGTAAGCGAGGGTGGGATCTTCAGGGCTTCGCCCGGCATAGAAAGTTGGTTCTACGTCAATTAAAAAGTGAATTCTAATTTTATCAATGGCCACCCTTACAGAGAGAATGAGCTTGCATAAAACTGAACACTGAGAGAGGAAGACCTCAGAAGGATTTTCAGCTTCTCTCTAGCTCTGCAGGGCAAGACAAGCTCTGCGTGGCCCTCCTACTCCTAAGATAGCTGTTCTCCTAAGGGACTCCCCTGTTCGCAGCGTTTCCTCATGAGACACTGGCCGAGGGTACTCCCCACCTCAGATCGCTGTCATGCTGCAGAGCTCAAAAATCTCAGCGCCGAGAATGCAGAGACTCTGGCAATCACGGGGCTCATCACTCTGACCCCAGTCAAGATTGGCTTGAGAAGAGTCTTCAGACAAAGGGCTAACAAGCAAATGGAGGTTTCTATGCTCACTTCTGCAAGCTGGCCAGGGATATATGGTGCTCTTTGGAATTAGAAGAGGAAAGCCTGGTAGAAAGTATGTTATCTTCAATGAATTTAATCTCAAAATAATAGGTACCTACTCTTGAGGACTCGATAACTTTAGCTGACACGAACATGCCAGGAGATGGGTAGTGTTGCTTCCACTTTACAGATGAGGAAGCTGTGGCCAAAGGGGATTAAGCTGTTGCTCACAATTACGTCAGACTGCAGTATGCTTTGGACAAGAATTCAAGGTGTTAAGCATTCAAAGACTAACCACAGTTTAAAACATGATTTTAAATGTGTTTTCATATATTGCAAGAAAATATTCTGTGTTTATTATATGCTGAAAAGTGAGAAAGCCAGTTTTGCTAAGCATTTCCTTCGAAAAACTTTCTTGTTTCTAACAATTTGAAAATACCACTAAGATCTGTAAAGGGAAGCACTGACCTCCGGGAAAATCAGTTTGCAAATGCTCTCCGCCAAAGTGTGAAGGTAGACGCGGCTGCGGCTGGCCTTTCTCTGCGGGAGGCTTTCTTGCACGTTCTTCTCAGGGACATCCTGGCAGATGGGCGCAGGGGCTTTGCCGCTCTCCGAGCTCCCTGCTGCTTCCTCTGCTGACTCCTGTGCCGCCTGCCCTGGGGCCAGGAGGGAGAAGGGACACTCCCCCGTGATCGTGAGGTCCTTGAGCTTCGTGCAGAACATGGCGTGGGCTCCTCGGCGCTCAGACCTCCGGGGGACACCAAGCCTGGGGTGGGGGCCGCGGACAGCAGCCACTGCCGATCCAGAGACACTGGCGAGCAGGCTTTCTAGGGCAGCAAACGGGCCAGAGAGGAGACGAGAATGACTCCTTCCACGGAGAAAACAGAGAAGTCAGGCACAAGAAGGCAAAGACCACACCATCATGTCTCATTTCCGCTTACAAACAAATTCTGATGGATTGCCAATTATGAAATGAGCAGAGCATGTGGGGAAGATCTTTAATACATGTACATTTCAGTGTACTGCAGTAGTAAACTACTGGATTTCAGTATTTTAACACTTTTCAAATAAAGTATTTTCTCTAAAATACCCTTAGCATGAACTACTAGTTTCTATTCTTGTAACCCAACTGGGCCAGTTTGATTCCACAAGAGCAGAACACCATGACAGAAGCCAGGTCTGAAACTGTCCTTTTAATGCTTGTGTGACTACACTCCATGATGCTGTTCTTTCTAAAGTAGCAGAATGCCACAAACCAGTGTCCCTCAAAAGTAGATAAAGAAAAAATACACACACACACACACTCACACACACACACACACACAAAGCTTATCTTTTCAGATCTGAAACTGACTTTTAGATGAAAACATTCAATGAAAATGATTACTGCAAAATGAAGTATCACTACAAATAGCAAAATAACTTCAAAATATTATCATAAAAATTACTATTTTTTCCAAAACTCCTGATCACTAAGAGTATCTCATGGGGTATGAAGAGATCCCCGGATCCAAACACGAATGATACTTAGATAAACCAAGAAAGTCCTACTGGTCAGAGCCTCCATAGAAATCATCCACATTGTCACTGGGGCATATTTTCCCTTTAGCGTTTGTTGGTGTCGGGACTGTAAATCATTCGCATAATTACAGCACATTTATTGTCAGTTGTTGGTCACTAGAACTGACTAATTTGAATTTTGCTCATCAACAATACTAAAAACTCTAATTTGGCGGGTCCACCAACTATTTCCTACTCTTAGAAAATAAAAAGCAAAGAGTGTGAAGATCCACATGCAGTAATTCCCTACTACATGCCTAACAGAGTCCTGGGGACCCTAGTACATTTAATCCTCATAGAAGCCATATGACAGATATTATCGCCAAAGGCCAAGAGGCTCAAATATTCAGGTCATTTCCCTCATTGGGATTGCTAGAAAATGACAGCACCAGTACTCAAATGTAGGTTGCTGTTCATCTAACTCCTGAACTAATATGATTTTATTACCCCAAATTCATTTCAAGTTAGACCAATCAGGCTAAGATTAATTTATCTCAAAATATGGTGCACAAGTTCATATTAGAAATCATCAAGAACCAAATTCTCCTGCTCACTGGCTGGTGTTGATGAATCATTCAAGATATAGCTTTACTTATTTATTTATTTCAACCTTTAGAACTGGTATTCAATTTTTTTTTTTTTTTTTTTTTTTTTTGCTCCTCAATGTTTTTCCTATTTTCTCAGGACATATAATCAAGAGTCTGTAAATTATCACAGGTAAATTAATCAGTTTAGAAGAATGAACAAGTCATTTTCTGAACGGGGGCAAATATGGAAGCTAAATTCACCACTGGACACAGCCTGGGTATCATGAAACTTTGGGGAAGGAGAAATCTTGAAATTTTCCAGAGAACGCCAGTGTGGTTTATTACATACAGTTATACCTCAAAGTCACGATCACATGGAATTTAGGAATCTTCAAGAAAGCACAGAGGAAGATCCTACATCTTCACAAGCAGTAACTATTCTGCTGGGAGAGGAGGGGAGCTCTCTGCATGGACAGCTCACTGAGGCGGCCCCAAGATGATACGACAGTGATGCGGATCAGGAGCACACAGACTCTGAAAGACCTGCACCTAGAGGGCTTTCACTAGAGTTTCTTTTTGGATTCAGTTACACTGAAGTCGTGTCTCAGCATTTTCTGTATCTCAACAGAACACTATTACTAGTATTTTTTATTACTGCACACAAATTTCTTTTCTGATTTATGGTTCAAATCTACAATCAGTAAAACTGTTCTCCATAGGGGCAGAGACACGCTCAGATTCGCAGGCTTCACGGTCTTGATCTCAGCTACTCTGCTCCACTACAGCAGCATGAAAACAGCCACAGGCCACACAAATGAAAGGGTATGGAAGCGTCCCAGTAAAGCCTGCTTGTGAAAACTCATGAGTTAGCCAAAGCATTTTACTCCAAAGGTAATTGGGTCGAAAAGGCCAGAATTACTTTCCCATCTTCTCTGCCTTCTCCTCCTCTCTCGAAAGAGAGCAGCCTATGTGGACCCAGTTTTTGTTGCTGTTGTCACTTATGATTGAACCCAGGGCCTCTCACATGCGGAGCCAGCACGCTGCCACTGAGCTACAACCCAGCCCATGACCAGTTTTGTACAGCTTGAAAGTAAGAAGATAGCTGAGTAGATATTTTCAGTATTTATAGAAATAATAATGCAATTATTTTAGATTAATGTTCAGGAGGAAGACCAGTAGTAACTGCATGCTGCAATTTCAGCTATCTCAGATATAACCACACGCGAGGTGTGGTGGCACACCCCCGTCATCCCAGCGCTCTGGGAGGCTGAGCTAGAAGGATGCAAGTTCAAGCCCCACCTGTACAACTTAGTGACTTAGTGAGGCTGTCCAAAACCAAGAAATAATAATAAAAGGGGGAAGCTGGGGGTCCAGTTCAGTGGTAGAGTGCCCCTCGGATCAATAATCTTCAGTACTGCTAAACCCAAAGATTACAATTCACTAGAAGAGGGTACTCAAAAGAAAAAAGAAAAGGAAAGCAATTAAAAATAGACCACTATAGGTTGACTCTACAGAATCAGCTATAGAAATGATTCCTAAAATAAGTTATTCTAGTACATATTAGAATTTTGGTACTGGATTTAGAGGTCTGGTATAAAATAGCTTATGATAAATTCTTTGATTAAACTTAATCTCTCATTCCATTTCTACCCTGGCACCCAAACTCTTTAATTTTCATCTTCTTATTCAATCTGGCTTCAACATCTAAAGCTGACCCTGAAATGCTTCCTTTTCCTGTATTGCACATTACTATAATTCCTGAAAATAAGCTAACACTGTTTTTTATTAACTTAAAAACGGCAATGGGAAGCAAGTTCTACTTACTTCAACACCAGTTCTTTAGTCACATGAATTCACATGTGTATAAGCAAACAAATGAGCATTCTTGGCCTGTTCAACAGGTGAGGCTGCACGGGAAACAGATGCACCCAGGGCCAATACGTCGGGAACCTGTGTGCGCCCTGGGCCTGCCTTCCAGGGATGCAAAGTACATTCTCCCGTTAAGCTAGTGATGATGTTTGAGGGTAACATCAGCAGTTTCTCCAGGAACGGTTTGGACAGCCAATGAACACAGCACACAGCTGATTGTAGAAATGGTAGTAACACAAGGAAAAAACAAATAAAGTAATAACACTGGTGACAAAGGCTTGGCAGGCAATGGGGACAATATGTTCTCATGAAGGTGGAGAAGTACTTGCTCTCCGAGAAGTTAAGAGCCTCCTAATGCACTGAATGTGCTCTTTTATCTGGTCAGTGATTAACTTCACTGTGGTAAGAATAAGGACCCAGCCATTGTTCCAGATTAATAAGGAGGACGCAGTTATTGTTCAGGTAAGGTAGCTCTCCATCATTTAAAATCCAGGACGTAATTAGGCATGAATACCTTGTTTGCTATGTGTATCAAGGTCATCTAGATCCAAGGACAACACTTCCCAGGCACTGGCTGGCACAGGCCTCTTTTGCAACATCAGGTATTAAAGATCAGGTGTCAAAATTAGAACGCAGTTGGGGAGCAGTCTAACAAATTCGTCTCCATCATAAGAGCAAATGGCTAGATCCAATGTCTAGGAGCAGACCTGGATCCTGACACAGCAGTATCTATGACTAAAGGGATCTAAGTGGTTTAAGATCAAATCACAAAGTTTAGATTTGTAAGAGTAGCTCAAAGGAAGAGTGAACTGAACATCAAATTGTCTTGGTGAGGATAATATTTGCATATTCCAATGCCAACTATAACAAACATAAGGGAGGCAGGTAAGTTTTCATGTAGGCTGAAAGCAGAGGGTTTTCTTTCCTCAAAAATTTAAAGTTGTTTTAAATAAAACCCTGTCAATCAGCCTTTTCAAAGGTATTTCTTTTCACTTTGCAGTAAGAATTATTTATAGAACTTGCTCTGTGGCATATGAAGAAAGGACAAAGTAATAGAAAAACTTATAAGCCTGTCCAAGTTTCTGCACAGTTCTAAGTTTAAACAAACAAACAAACCTCAGACCCCTTTGTGGTATTTATCTTTTTTAGGGCTACCAATTATCTTATTGCCATATTTCTTAAAAGAGTGAGTTTTGGGGCTGTGTTCCATTGTTTAAATCATGTTTATTCTTACATCTAAAACTGTTCAGCTTTAGCTTCCAATGTAATTGCAAATTGCTTGTTAAATTCAAAGCTTAAAAGTCAAAGTTTGAGAATCTTTTGACTTTTAACATACTTAAATTCTGCCAGGATTTGTATTTTCTTTTTCAGAATCTTGACTCCCATGCATCCTTGGATATCACACTAAAGTACCTTCTCCTTCATTTGTTCTAGTCATCAAATATTAGGGATGTTCTGCCACATCTCAAGCATTCCTCCAGACACAAAAGCAGAGTGACTTTGTAAAAGGACACACCCTCCTCTCCTGGGGTTTATATCCCAGCAGGGAAAGTAAGACATAAACCACATCACCTCAGGGTCACATATCACTCTAGTAATGAAAATCAGGGTTACAAACCAAATCCCAGGAGAGAGCAGAGCCATGGAGAAAGTTCCAGAAAGAAGAACATGCTCGGTGATCAAAATGGAACTAGGCATGCTTGAGAAACAGAAAGGATTCCAAGGTAGCTGGAGTATGGTGTCTGTGAGAAAAAGGCATGGGGTGGAGGAGATAAGATTTGTCAAGACAGGGATTTCCCAAGACTCTGTAAACTATGACGGAGGAGTCAAAACTCTACTGGAGGAACAATCAACTGGACGACTGAAAGCAAAATAATGAATGACTTGGACTACATTTTTAAAAGATTATTTG